GAGAGTTTTTATCATGAATGGATGTTGAATTTTGTCAAATGCTTTTTCAGCATCTATGGAGATGATCATGTGGTTTTTGTCTTTCTTTTTGTTGATGTGGTGGATGATGTTGATGGATTTTCGAATGTTGTACCATCCTTGCATCCCTGGGATGAACCCCACTTGGTCATGGTGTATGATCCTTTTGATATACTGTTGAATTCTGTTTGCTAATATTTTATTGAGTATTTTTGCATCTACATTCATCAGGGATATTGGTCTGTAATTTTCTTTTTTGGTGGGGTCTTTGCCTGGTTTTGGTATTAGGGTGATGTTGGCTTCATAGAATGAGTTTGGGAGTATTCCCTCTTCTTCTATTTTGTGGAACACTTTAAGGAGAATGGGTATTATGTCTTCTCTGTGTGTCTGATAAAATTCCGAGGTAAATCCGTCCGGCCCCGGGGTTTTGTTCTTGGGTAGTTTTTTGATTACTGTTTCAATTTCTTTGCTTGTAATTGGTTTGTTTAACTTTTGTGTTTCTTCCTTGGTCAGTCTTGGGAGGTTGTATTTTTCTAGGAAGTTGTCCATTTCTTCTAGGTTTTCCAGCTTGTTGGCATATAGGTTTTCATAGTAGTCTTTAATAATTCTTTGTATTTCTGTGGAGTCTGTCGTGATTTTTCCATTCTCATTTCTGATTATGTTGATTTGTGTTGACTCTCTTTTTCTCTTAATAAGTTGGGCTAGAGGCTTATCTATTTTGTTTATTTTCTCAAAGAACCAGCTCTTGGTTTCGTTGATTTTTGCTATTGTTTTATTCTTCTCAATTTTGTTTATTTCTTCTCTGATCTTTATTATGTCCCTCCTTCTGCTGACTTTAGGCCTCATTTGTTCTTCTTTTTCCAGTTTTAATAATTGTGATGTTAGACTATTCATTTGGGATTGTTCTTCCTTCTTCAAGTGTGCCTGGATTGCTATATACTTTCCTCTTAAGACTGCTTTCGCTGCATCCCACAGAAGTTGGGGCTTAGTGTTGTTGTTGTCATTTGTTTCTATATATTCCTTGATCTCTATTTTGATTTGTTCATTGATCCATTGATTATTTAGTAGCATGTTGTTAAGCCTCCATGTGTTTGTGAGCCTTTTTGTTTTCTTTGTAGAATTTATTTCTACTTTCATACCTTTGTGGTCTGAAAAATTGGTTGGTAGAATTTCAATATTGTGGAATTTACTGAGGCTCTTTTTGTGAGCTAGTATGTGGTCTATTCTGGAGAATGTTCCATGTGCACTTGAGAAGAATGTATATCCTGTTGCTTTTGGATGTAAAGTTCTATAGATGTCTATTAGGTCCATCTGTTCTAGTGTGTTGTTCAGTGCCTGTGTGTCTTTACTTATTTTCTGCCCGGTGGATCTATCCTTTGGGGTGAGTGGTGTGTTGAAGTCTCCTACAATGAATGCATTGCAGTCTATTTCCCTCTTTAGTTCTGTTAGTATTTGCTTCACATATGCTGGTGCTCCTGTATTGGGTGCATATATATTTAGAATGGTTATATCCTCTTGTTGGACTAAGCCCTTTATCATTATGTAGTGGCCTTCTTTATCTCTTGTTACTTTCTTTGTTTTGAAGTCTATTTTGTCTGATATTAGTACTGCAACCCCTGCTTTCTTCTCACTGTTGTTTGCCTGAAATATGTTTTTCCATCCCTTGACTTTTAGTCTATGCTTATCTTTGGGTTTAAGGTGAGTTTCTTGTAAGCAGCATATAGATGGGTCTTGCTTTTTTATCCATTCTATTACTCTATGTCTTTTGATTGGTGCATTAAGTCCATTTACATTTAGGGTGACTATTGAAAGATATGTACTTATTGCCATTGCAGGCTTTAGATTCGTGGTTACCAAAGGTTCAAGGTTAGCTTCTTTAGTATCTTACTGCCTAACTTAGCTCGCTTATTGAGCTGTTATATACACTGTCTGGAGATTCTTTTCTTCTCTCCCTTCTTATTCCTCCTCCTCCATTCTTCATATGTTGTGTGTTTTGTTCTGTGCTCTTTTGAGCGGTGCTCCCATTTAGAGCAGTCCCTGTAGGATGCCCTGTAGAGGTGGTTTGTGGGAAGCAAATTCCCTCAGCTTTTGCTTGTCTGGGAATTGTTTCATCCCGCCATCATATTTAAATGATAGTTGTGCTGGATGCAGTATCTTTGGTTCAAGGCCCTTCTGTTTCATTGCATTAAGTATATCATGCCATTCTCTTCTGGCCTGTAGGGTTTCTGTTGAGAAGTCTGATGTTAGCCTGATGGGTTTTCCTTTATAAGTTACCTTTTTCTCTCTAGCTGCCTTTAAAACTCTTTCCTTGAAGGATGGGCTCCTTTTATACTAGTTTGAGAGATTGAGAGATGATTTCCAGGGATACAGCTTTCTGAAAAACCATGCTTTCTCTCTGTTCTTTGAGGATAAGCTTGCCATCCACACTCCTATGTGAGGATAACACTTTAATTCCTTTATTTCTTTCTAAGATGAGTGATAGAGTCTCAGAAACCCCGTTGTTCAGTTAGGGATATGTGAGTGAAAAGGTGTGTTTTCATAATGACACTATTATCAGAAATGAGTCCTTTGATTTATATAAGTTCATTTTAGATTTTCTGTCCTTAAGTTTGTTTCCTCTTTGCTCACATGAAGTTCAATGTTTTAGTCAAAATAAAATTTTACCCTAGAAAGGTTAAGATTTTACATGAATAAAGTAATGCCTTTACCTGCTGATAGAGGTTTGTGAAAATACCCTTTAATGCTTTTTTAACAGTAAAGGTTAATGCTCTCCAGCTGAGACCTGAGTAAATATCTATTTAATCGAAAGGAAAAATCTGCTGAATGAGTTCTTATCAATGCTGTGTACACTATCTGGCCCAAAAATGAGCAAAAATATGATTTCTGTGAAATCATTTAGGTGACAATAGAACTATTTTGTAGGGTTCACCCACCCCATTGCAAAGAAAACTGTAATGAAAAGTAAATAAACATGAATTTCAACTCGCCTCTTTTTTTTTATAAAGAGCTTTAATTACTGGAATTAATTACTGGAATTCAGTATTTAATTGCTTTAAATACTAAATTCCTGGAAGTGAGAAATTTTCTATCATCCAGACTAAAGATTTTTAGTGTCAATAAAGGCTGCCTGGTTTTGCCTTGACCTATCAGACTGCATTTCATAAGATACCCCTCCCCTGTAAGTACAGCCCATTGAGGCATGCTGGCTGCGTTTCCTGCTCTCACCTCTTCATTTGCCTTTCTTCCTTCAGGAACATATTCTTGTTTCAGAAGGAGAGAATTTCAACATACACCCTGTTTTGGAGAAATCCTATAACTTAAATTCAACACAATCCCTTTTCTTGTTATAGCAGATATGTTTTATAATTTTTTGGAGTTCAGTATCTATACATTAATACATAATATCTGAACAAAGCCTAGGTCAGATCTCCAAAATCAACGTATTAATATTTTTGTTGTGAAACACAAGTATTCCCACCAAGCAGGATAAATGCTCTAAATAACTTTATGCCAGTTTAGATATACTTTTGGAACCAAACACACAGAAGCACTTGGTTTCTAAAGTTCTTTGGATTTCAGAATTGCAGGTAAAGGACTGTGTGTGGACTTGCAATACTTATACTAAAGGAAAGGCCTTTAGTATAAACTTTGTATCAGACAAGAAATGCTCCCCGCCCCACTCCTCTTACAACTCTCTATTTTTCTGTGATGCCTTATTGGTCCTCAAACACACCAGACACAGTCCTGCCTCAGAGCACTGGCTTTTCCTCTCTCTGGTCTGTTTCACCCCTGCTGGGCGGCCACAGCTCACTCCCTCACCTCTTCAGAGCTTTGCTCAAGTATCACCTCAGTGAGTCTTTTCTTGACCACTCTATTTTAAATTTAAAAACTCCCCTCACTACCTGCATTCCTTGTCCTCCTGCTTACTATGTTTTTCCCCACGATAAATACAATCAGACATACCCTATTCCTCATTTACTTATTCACTAGCTCTCTTTCCCCAAATCTAGAATTAGAATGTGATTTCCATAGAGATGGGGATCTTAGTTTTATTTCTTCATTGTTTGCATTTAGAACTGTGCTGGTATGTGGTAGGTGCTCTCAGCTTCTAGGTGCTAGGGCTACAGTAATAAATAAGACTAGCCAGATTGATGCTTCCAATCTGGGACAGGGGGCAGGGGGCTGATGCAGGGGAGGGTAGACAGGCGATTGGCCAGTTAATAAAGCAATTTCAGATAGTGATAAATGCTTCTAAAACTTCTGAAAGACAGTGACAATACAGAGTAAGCATCTTAGCTTGGGTGTTCGCAGAAGGCCTCTGAGCTGAGCCCTCAAAGATAGGAAGGAACCGACTATTCACAATTCTGGGGAAGAGCACTCTAGACAGAAGGAACAATTACAAAAGCCTACAGTAGAAATAAGCTTGGCATCATGTGAAGAAAGGTCAGGATGGCTGAAGCATAGTGAGCAGGGAGAAAGCAAGTCCCCGAGAATGGAGAGGGCAGGCCACTTCACAGGCTTTGGTGAGGGGTAGAGAAGCATCATGAATCAATTCTCATTTTATAGGGATCATTTTTGCTCTTAATGGAGTTAAAAGGTAAAGAGGAAAGAGAGGGAACGTGAGACCAGCCGCAAGAAATCTTTAACAATGGTCCAGACAAAGGTTAATAGACAAATATTTGGCTTGAACAAGTTAAGTGTTCAGTAAAATAGGGAAAGACTAGAGTAGAACAAGGCAGTTTTGTTTGATTTTGGTTTATATATATCTGAGAGGTTGGGGGAGGTGGTGCAGGAATCAAGAGCTCTTCTGGCTCTAAGAGTTTGGACCTCCATGAAGAGGTCAGGGCCGCAGAAATAAAACGTGGGAATCATCAGCACATAAAGCTCATTAAAGGTTATGGATAGATGAGATAATAGGAGAAAATTTAGATATAGAAGAGAACATCAGTTCACCTAATACAAAGACTACATCAGGCCATTAAGACTCTTAACAACTAATTTATTTTAAAATAGACAAATTATTGTAGAAAATAACATAGCAATTTTAAATGTACAGTTTTAACCAATACAAAAAAAAGCAATAAAGCAATATCTGAAGCTTTATTTAAGAAATTTCAATGCATGATACCGGAAATTCCTAAAACTCTGGCACTAATTCTAATGTGAACTTATTAGCAGAAGACCCAAAAGTATGGTAAATCCTTGACCTAAAAGCTGATTTGTATGCTATTCATGCAAAAATTAATGAGGAAATGGGGTAAAGCTTTCTAGTGCCTGTGTTATCAAGATAACTGTCAAGAAAATAAGTTTGAAACTTAATTGAGCAAAAAATAGAATTTTGTTCTCTAACAAAATAAGACCAGATTCCTTTTTAGAAAATAATTCTTAGTTTAGACAAAGTGATTTTCCTAAAAGCTAGCTGATGCTACCTTAAATATCACCTATTTTAAATTATACCATCTCTAAATAAGTTAATCACACAAGATAGTTTAAATACACCTTTAGGTGCTGGGGGGAAAGATCCTCTTTCTCTAATGTAGCTATTTTAATTTGAAGCTTTTATACAAAATCAGAAACATTAATTCTTAACCCAAAGATCTTTGATTATTTGCAGTTTTGGACGAGAAATAATGTGGCTTTGAATTTGCCAGTGTTAGACCATACTGACTTAAAAAAAAATAAAAGATAGACAATTGCTAGTTCAAAAGATACATGAAAGACATGTACCATTCCAGAGAAAACATGCCCCTCCCCAAATTTAGTAGGGCAGAATAATTGCTGAGGTGCAATTAGACAAATCTCTAAGAAAAAAAAAATTAAGGCTCTGATAGTTAACAGTCTGTTTATGGAGTAAAATTATTTTCTATCTTGATTCTTAAGGACCCAGAAACATTAGAAAGTGCACTTGGGGTAACCTGTATGAGGGTCCTCTACAGCAAAACTCCAGCTGAACACTTTATTTTCTAAGTATTAGATTGGTACTTTATGAATTCAGTGATCTGAATGGTATAAAAACCAAGAGTACTATTAATAATCTTCATTTTAAAGCATGAGTTGGATGAAGAAAAGAATTCTTAGAAGTCCTGAGGTATGAAATCTGTATCAGTAGTATGACAATATCATGTTTATACTTTGCTTTCTGCTTGTATTTAAAAGCTAAAATTTATAAAACAAGCATATAGTACATCAGATTCCATTAGTAAACTAAAATCTAGTGTGTAAAAATTGGTAATTTTTTTCTAGTTTCTAATATCTGTTTTAGCACAAGAGTTTGGAATCATTTGGGTGCATGGGGGGCAGTCAGCCAAATTGCATTTGGAAGACATATTCTAAGGGTGTTCATGTTAAATTAAAAAAATAATAAATATAAATTAATAAAAATAATAGCAAACATCAGATATATGCCCCAAGAGAAGACAAAGTATTCAGATAGGCATGAGTTGTTAAGGCTTCCACTCCCAGCATCCTCACCATTGCTCAATTATGCTTTGGAAATGGAAATATCTGCTTCAACTTTTAAATGGCAGGATTTACACAAGATTTTTAATCTTGTACAGTAACTGCATATTCTACTGACTACAACATTACAAGTAGCTTAGGAACTGCCTGCACAAATACTCAACCTGCATCTGCACACTTTATATTCACAAAAGAAAATGGAGATATGTATTAAATGTGGCTGTAAATAGAACCTGGGAGTTACACAGATCTGTCAGAGACAATGAGGCCAGAGGTGGACACGGTGCCCACCAAGGTCACGAGATCTTCACTTTTCTTCCCTGTTTGAAGTATCCATACTATCATTCATTTTCTGCTTCTGCATTCGTGTTCGAGTAGATGCTGGAAAAAGGATGAAGAAATGTTAACAGCACTGATGGTGCTAGGTAAGTTGGCAAAGGGCTGCTGGCATTATGCTGTGGTCATGCCAAACTGATGGAGCTCAGGGCCTAGCAAAGCAGTGGTTTCCAAATTTTTTATCATTATCCCAGTAGAATTTTTCCCAAGCACATACCACCAAAATAAAAATATGTCTATGTGTGTAAGTGGGTATAAATTATAAAACACATATGATGCAAGCAAACATTAAAAACAGATGAGACAAAAATAAAAAATTCTAATATTTTCTTTATCCACCAAAAGGTGGCCCAAGTTTGTAGGTCACATTCTAGAGATAATGAGGTTGAGGACTGGCACTTTACCAGAGCAGAATCCTGGGCTGGCCCAGACAGATCTGCCTAACTGAGTGAGTGGTAGTCTCTACAAGGCAAGAGACTCCCTTCTGTTCAGAGATGCTTTGCAAAGACATCAGTTTAGAGCTCATTTAATTTGGACATAGACATTTTAAAAGCCCATTATTAATTACAACAGTAGATGGGAAAAGAACTTTTAAATAATTAAAATTATTGAAAAAAATATTTTAAAAATTATTAAAAAGTTCTTGATATTAGTGGTAGGCAGGAGCTCTTCATAAAGAAGCTTGGAAAAGAAAGAAAGTAGTATTCCATATTTACACTTGGAAAAGAAAGAAAGTAGTAACTCTAAGTCTCCCCCTCTGGCCCATCCACTCGGAGCAAAGCAATCTAGCACTGTGGGATGACTTTTTTAAATGCAATTTTCTTTGAGGAAAGCTAAAGTAGTGTGGAGATTTCCTGAGCCTCATGAGTGAAAACTCCTGCTGTTTCTCCAATTCTCCAGCTGCACAAAGGCCCTGAATCTCAGCTTGCCATAGGGAATTCACCATCATAGCTAAGTGTGTCACTGGGAAATGTACTGACTACAGCAACTGAACTCTTTGCTAAGAAAATACACATGCTTTTACAGCTTTCTAATCCTCTTAAAATGCGTATTTGTGGACTCCCAAATGCTTCCACATGTTTTCAAAACCTGCTTTTGGTTATAAGCTTCATGTCTCTTTTCATGTACTAAGGGAAAAGCCACAATTATTTAAATGTTAAAATGAGTACGTTAGTCAATGTAAAATCCAAAAATAATTTATAACCAAAAAATTTAAACTTTTGTTATAGTTTTAATTACTCTTCAAAATAATATGCACAGAAAAAATGGTTTAAAAATCAAAAGCATTATCTTAAATACTCTGTATTTCAAAGTACCTACAAGAGACATGTTAAAAAGCCCTTTTTAAAAAGTCACATTTTAATTGGTATTGTTCTTACTAATATGTCCTATGACCTAGGAATGTAGTCTTAATACTTACTATCTCCTAAATGTTTGTCTTTTTTACAAGTCTTGGCTCTTATTCTTGTTAATGGATCTGGCACCAGATTATCAGAAAATGTCACACACACAATCACAGCCAACTCTCTAAGACAACTTAGTAGCAGTTAGTACACATTTATCTTTTTCTTAATGTGCTTTCCATCTGCTATACTTGGGTTAATCTTTTATGTTCTCAGAGTTGCTTAGGATAGAATTCCATTTGCCTTAGTACTCCAAATTGATGTCACTTTGTATAACTTGGAAAATGACCTGGTGTTTTTCATCAAAATTTTGATTTCCAGTAATGGAGACCTTCTGTTTAGAATTAAGTTTCAAAACTTGCAAAGTAGGAAGGTTCAATAATAGAATAAAAGATGATTCTTAAATAAGGGTGATGATATTTTTTATCCTAATTCTATAAAACCATTTCCTATATCCAACCCTTTTTTACAGACTTCATTATGGTTCTGCTATCCTGAAATATTTCTAACCACAGCCATTCATGCTGAAGATGTAGGTTTACTTCTTAGTCTTCCTGCCCAAAAGATTTTAGAAAGGATGAAGATGACCTTCATTTTACATTTCATCATACATTTATTTCATTTATAAATGTTTATAGGTGAATAATGCATTCTTGTCTGAATCATATTTTAAATGCATAAGCAAGCCAGCTAAGTGACAGATTTATAAGTATTCTTTTATAATGTGAAAAGGCTTTTCGCAATGTAAACAATTTTCTCATTTACATAGGTAAAATGATGAGTACTTACTCATTTCTGCTAGTTTCTGCTGAAATTTGGACTCTCCTGGGAGGTGTTTACTGCAGATTTAAAAAATACAAAATATTTCGTATGTATATGTATAAATGGAAAACTCAGATTTTCTTTCTATGACTTATTTTATGCTCTTATTTTAGTGAGTAGCTTTTAACTTCAAAGGTGGTTTATAAAAAAACGATCTAAGATATAAATGATACAAATTTACAATCCTACATATTTTTTCTGTAGTTCTTATAAAACACAGTAATTGATATTTTTCAAGAGTATGCATTTAAAAATGTGTTAATAAAAACAAAATTTTATCAATGGCTTTGAAAAAAATCAGATTTTTAGCATCTGATATTTTCAACTAATTCCAGTAGGTAGTATATGATTTATATGGTGTTTTACTTGGGGATGCATTCAGATCTATTATTTTGAGCAATCCTCACAATTTCCAAATAAAATTGTCATGGAAGGAATCGGTGGAAGTTAGGAGCACAGCTGGCACTCTGGGTTCTTCAGATGACCAGCTCAGCTACTGAAAAACCTTCTAAAACTGTTCCTACCTTCCATCTGCTTCATCTGATCCTTCAATATCAAAGCGTAGTTTTTTCAGTGGTTTAGGAGGATTGCTTCCTTCAGCACTTCTTTTGAGCACACGATCACTGTTACACACCATCTGATTTATTTTCTGGAACTTCTCGGAAGTCTACAAATTACAGAATTCTTTATTTTAAATTATTAAATGCCAGCATTTTGTAGTTAGCAACCCTTATTTGTTGTTTGGAATGTGTCAAAAGTCAGGCAGTGGTAATTATCTGCATTTTAATTTTCTGCTTTACTGCACCAAATGAGATATGAAAAATCATAAAATCAAAGTAACTGCACATAACTTTTTCCAATTAAATAGCCACTGTTTTTTAATTTTCCTATCTTTTCCTCTGAAATTCTTCCCTTACTGCAATAACTCTGGCTGTTACTATGAAAGTCCTGGTTCCTTATTTTCAGAACTCATCCACATGCAAAATGAGCGCTACTGCTTGGAAGCACATAAAGTTGGAACAGCTTTCTGGACCCTTGTTTTTGACATTTTTTTCTGTTTTTGGAAGGCATAACAACTGATGTCACAAGAATTTAATAGGAAGTGGAAGTGAAACGTCCAGTGAGTAATGATTTTGCACTCATGGGCATTTGGTTGAAAAGTCCTATAGTTTATACATTTTACACAAGTATGGATACAGTATTTGTTGAAATGCTGCTGGTTCATAAGTTTTTTAATTAAAAGACTTTAGAATTTCAGTCCACACAGGATGACTGATGGTGATTTGTGATGTATACGTCTCCTGAAGGAGAATACTGTCATAGCAAAGTAAAGAAAGCTTTGGTAAGAAATACCAAAGGCCACATCAGGGAAATTAAAACCAAAACCACAATGAGCTGTCACCTCACACCAGTCAGAGTGGCTAATATCAACAAGACAAGAAATAACAAGGGTTGGTGAGGATGTGGAGAAAAGCAAATCCTTGTACACTGTTGGTGGGAATGTAAATCGGAGCAGCCACTGTGGAAAGCAATATGGAGGTTCTTCAAAAAACTAAAAACAGAAATACCATATGACCTAGTGATTCCACGTCTGGGAATTTACCCAAAGGAAACAGAATCACTGATTTGAAAAGATATGTGCACTTGTATGTGTACCACAGCACTATCTACAGGAGCCAAACTATGGGAACAGCTTGTGTCGACGGATGGATAAAGAAGAGATGGTACATACACACAATGGAATGTCATTCAGCCACAAAAAAGAATGAAATCTCCAGCCATTTGGAGCAACATGGATGGACCTACAGTATATAATGCTAATGCTAAGTAATAGACAAATACCATATATGTGGATTCTAAAAAATAAAACAAATGAACACACAAAACAGAAATAGACTCAAACACAGAGAACAGACTGGTTGCCATAGGGTAGGTGGGTAAAAAGGTGAATGGGGAAAAGAAGTGACAATGTTTGATATTCTTCATCTGGGTGATGGTTCCATGAGTGTATACACATGTCAAAACTAATTGAACTGTACACTATAATTTGCGTATTTTATTGTATGTACTTCAATTAAAAAAGAAGAAAAAAAATAACCACAAGGACACAGCACCTTATTTTATCCAAAGGAGAAACACATGGAAAAACTGTACTTCTTGTCTATTTTAGAACTGGAGTGGGCTGATTATCTCAAGGATGTGTATGAACATGTTCATGTGAACTGAAAACTCATGTCAGGCTTTCTGATAGAAATTAAATCTGATTTGACTGATCTGACAGTGGGGATTAGCTTTGTTAAGTATGCTTTATTTTCTAAAAATTAAGAGCAAAAAGCAAAAATAATTTTAAGGGAAAATTAGAGTACATATATAACATATGGAAACTAAATCCTGTGCACTTATTAAATTTATGATAAGCTTTTTAGTTATCAGCTTTAAAATATGGAAACATGTAAAACATTTTCTTAATTCTCTTAGAGGTGCTGGCAAGCAGAACAATGTGAAGATCCCTCCATCTACCCAGATCCAACCCTCCTTATGTGGTCCCACGTCTCCTTAGTGAAGCCTGACAGCTGCAGCCTGTCTTGAGCTAAGTGTCAGAGCATTTACTATTTGTAACATTCATTTTAACACTCAGTCGTTTAGTATATAAACTTTTATCTTTCTCTAGTTATTCTAGTTGTTTCATTTGGGGCAGATGCTAGAATGGCTCTCACTAATCCCCACCTCCTAGTATTTACACTCTTGTGTAATCCTCCTCTCCTTCAGTGTGGGTTAGACCCAATGTTGTCTTGCTTCTGACAAAAATAATATGGCAAAAATGATGGAATGTCACTTTCAGTTTTAGTTACTAAAATACTATAACTTGCATCTTGCTTGTTATCTCCTTTTTTCTCTCCTTCCCTCTCTTGGAGTCCTTGCTCTGGGGGAAGCAAGCTGCCATGTTGTAAGTACTGAGTAGCCCTATGGAGAGGCTCCAGTGGCAAGGGACTGAAGGCTAGGGCCAACAGCCACAGGAATGAGTTTGCAAGAGGTCCTCTTCCAGTTGAACCTTGAGACAGCCGTAGTCACAGCTGACACAGTGACTGCAGCCTTGTCAGGAAAGACTTTGGACCCAGCTAAGCTGTACCTGGATTATTGACCCAGAGAAATTGCAATAAAAAATGTTTAAGTTACTAAGTTTGGGATAATTCTTGACACAGCAATAACTAACTAATATAGGTAGGAGGGTTGTTGTTGGTGAAACATATTAAAAGTAATACGCACTGAATATAAAACTGAATTAATGATGTTAATGGAAGGCCAACTAGAGTAGTGGGTTTCCAGCCTAGAATAACTATTCCAAAGCTCAGCTTTCCCTTGGATCCTTTGGAACAAAGATTATCACATACCCTGTCACTTAATACTGGGAAGAGTCTCATGTAACCAATTCCTAATCAATTTACCAGATAAAGAATATCCTAGAAGCCTGAGAAGTCTAAGAGGAAGGACAAACAAAAGTGTGTATATGTAGAGAAGGAGAAGACCAGTAGGCAGGAACTGGCTGATGACATTTGGTTATGGTGATCACAGTCTGGAGTATCTTTCCTATAGCTGTAGCTTTGAAATTTACCAATTATAAGTATGATTTATAATTCAATCTGACTTGAAAATAAATCTGATATACCTATCTTTTAAATTCTATGCAACATGCCTGGATGAGGTGTTTGAATAATAGCATTTATAAATTCAAATTATAGAAATCTTCAATTTCTTTTATAGGTACAATGCATGCCATTATATTTCATAGAAAGAAAATACTCACTCCAAATGATTCACCAATTGATACTAAGATTCTGTTAAGACAAAATACATATTAGTAGTGAAAATCATATATAATTATGCAGAGATGAACAAACACATCATTCTGAACTATCAGAAATGTTAAATCAAAGGTTTCCTCTACTCTTAGTGCCACTGACAAATTATATTCATTAGGGGCTTATTTTAACAGTGCTAGTCTAGTCAAACACTGAACTGGTGTCTAGGATTTTTAAAAGCAAGAACCACATGTCTGCAAGGACATATTCTGTCACTATATACATTTAAAAAAGAGGATCAAAGAAAATCTGAAGTTTTCCCATATTTAATTCTTCATAAATCAATGGGTAAGTTATCAACAAAAATTTCTTTCACATTTTCACATTAAAAATTCTAGTTACATATGGCAAACTCTTAAGAGTACTAAATAATAATCAGAATTCTAACTAGGATCTATATTGATATGCAGTAATAGATATTTATCATATATCCTAGTATCAGGTATGTCTCTTTGTATGTTTGTCCTTGTTTCAACCATATAATTTATGTCCTTGATATTAAAGCTGAAGAATTGCACTAGCCTGAATAACAAAGATTTGATCGTATGTATAAGGATACATAGATATTACTGCTTTTCAATTCCTTGGTAAATGACCATCATTCTATATATTTGATTAACCAGAATACCTAAATATGCTGGATAAATAGTGTGTTAAGATGGTCTCTTAATGCTTCATCAGCTTTTTAGGATTTTCAGAATGTGACTTTTGCTAAAGAACAACTTGGAAGTGATCTCACCATGATCAGCAAATAATCATTATCATCTTAATATGGATTATTTATCAGTACCTAAGTATATGTTTTCATGTGGCAGTATGAGCCTGTGTAAATTAAATGGACATGGTGTGGCATCTTAACAGCTTATAACGTAAGATATAATTATTGACACACTCAACTATAAGATACCAAATAAACAAAAGATGTTACAGGGGTACATAGAGCATTTATATAACTTGCCAATTATTTTCTACTTTACCTTTTCCTGTAGAGTTTGAAACTTTTATCATCAGAGTGCATTACTTATATAATTAAATATACTATACAAATGTTTCCTAAAGAGTTAATATATCCCTTTCCTGTTTGTTTCTTGCCCATTAAGTACAATATGGATTGACAGTTTCTGAGATGACATTTCATTAACTATACTAGCCAATCTGCCTCCCACTTTATACAAATAAAGTTAGTTTCAAATACCCCATAATAACATATAGTAAGTCAGTTGAAGCACAGAGCCAGAGAGCACTTGCAGTTTGATGTGGGAGATAACATAATTACTTGTAGCTGCACACAACTTCTCATCTGTGAACTTAAAACAGTTTCATGCTCTCATCATTTCAATGATCCACAGCACCCTTCTGAAGCAGACATACAGACCTGTCCCAGGTAATATGAGGAGGCCACAGGCAGAATTATGAATGGACTTTAGACTTAATTTACAGTCATCTACATTTAATCAGTCACATTTTTATAACAAAGCAAGATGAACAGGTTCACAGTTTTACAGGACATTCATTGCAATTCCTGAATAAAACTTCTTAACCAATGTAATCTACTTTGTTTAGTCGATTGGCTAAAGAAATTATGAAAGTGATTTTAAACTTACTACCAAACTGGTTCTCAGACTGTTTACAAAAGAACAGACCCCAGCAGCCAGGACTAAATTTTCAAACCCATCTAAGAAAACAAATTATCTTCCTTTCCCCACAAATTCTTATCATGCCAGTTAATATAAATAAGCAAATTAGAGACTCAAAAGTCTAGCTTATTTTAAATGAAGAAAGCTTTATATTTTTGTACTTGGATCAAAATAATCCTTTATTCTTTATCTTTTCCCTAAAGAGAAAACACAAACCTTGATCTTGGAGTCATTTTTGTTGGTGTTGGCAGACCTTCTGAAATTTTATATGGATTCTTTAGGGGTGATATATAGATGTTTCCCCCAGGAATTCGTAGAGGTGAACTAGAAAACTTGTAAGGACTTCGAGGAATGTGAGGTACTGGTGACAAGGTAGGGGGCTAGAACAAAAACAAAAAGAAAGATTATTTATTTATTGTTTTAGTGAGATCCATTGCTTCATAATTAGATTTTCCCAAAGGATACTTTCAGCGTACCCTGGTGGAAGCATACTGCAAAATATTTGTTTTCAGTTTTTGCATGAAGACAGAGTTATAGAATACTATAATGGAATCGTATTCCTCTTCTCTGATCAAAACACGTTTGAATGTCTGAAGAAGAATAGTAAAAACACTTGTTAGATGAATTTGGAAATTTATCTCTTTAGATTTTCTCCTAATAATTCATAATACTTTTTAATAGAAAGAAGCACATATGGAAGAAAAAATAATCTGAAAAGCCTTCTTAGGCTTGGATTTTACTCTGCTTTACCAGAAGTGAACTGTCATAGATATATATATATCTACACACACACACACACACACACACACACACATATATATATATTCTATTTATATATATACATATACACATATACACACACACACACATTTAAGAGTGTATTACAAATACCAAGTTTATTGCAGGGATACAGTATTCCTTATTAACTTTATAATATGATTAATTTGGATATTAAAGTACCTTAACTTTCCAATTCCATTTTAATTACAAATAATTAACCAATAATATAAAAATAAAAAATTGATACGTGAATTTATATAATAAGGTCAGAATATATGATGTAATTAATGATTGATCTATTTATACTTAAAGATATAGCCAAAAAAAACCTTACTATGTTATATTACCTACCTCCTGAACAGCATGAGTAAGATCCTTGTATGCTGTTACAATGATTTTGAATTTAAGGTCTATATTCTTCACTTTGCATATGCCATACATGGAACACATCATGATCTAGTAAATAAATGTGATGTAAAAAAGTCAGAATTTTGTTACATGGTTATGTTCTAAAAGGTACTCTGTTATCTTTCTTTCAGTTTCAAAAAATGGAAATTTAATTTCCTACTACATTATCCTTTTCCATTCTGAGCTCAATTTCAAACTATGTGTTTAACACAAATTGTATTTAAAGGACAAAATGCAAATAGCCAGCCCTCAGTTGTTCAGGGCTGATCTTCTGGTTTGTAAAACCTTAACTTTGGCTCCTGTTCCTTAAATGTTTCTCAGAAAAGTTACAACTGAAATCAGTTAGCTGTATTAACTAACACTAAGGAAAAAAAAAAAAAAAAGGCCCCGTGTGTAAAAGGTTTAAACTATCAGATAAAATAATACTGAATACAGTGGTGATAAAGGGATGTAGTGACTACAAGGGAGCAAGAGAGAGTCTCGTGTTGTTGACGATACTCTGTTTCTTGATTTGGATGCTGGTTATAGATGAGTTCAGCTGATGAATTTACATTAAGATGTATCCTTATGTGGATTTTTCTATATGCATATTATGTTCCAATAAAAATATTTTTAAATGCAAAAATAAGATTTGAAATTATTCCCTGTGATTTGAAAACATCAAGCCTTCTTAGTTTACATGAATTTTACTGCCCAATTTAAGTAAACACGTCTTATGCCACATTCTTGCTCACACGGACTACTGTCAAGAACACTTATTCATCCCTTGCTCAGCATCCTACCAGATCCAGAACTACTATTCCTTCCATTTAGAATGCTAATTTTTTTATCCTCTTTGCTAATTCACACTTTCTTCTACTTCAGTGTTTACCTAAGCCTACTCCTACAAAAATCTTGATTCCAGATACTTAATCTCTTTAGAATTCCTTAGTACTACTGTCTGTCTTTCTATATTGCAGAAAAGCAGTAGAACCGTAAGGCAATAAATGCCTACTTTAAAAAATCCATACTAGAATTTATGTATCCAAATATGCTTTTGTAAAATACACATATTTGTATTACAGTATATACAGAAATTTACCTCTGCTCAAAATATTCTTATTGGGCATATTCCTACTAAACTTGGAAAAGTAAAAAAGATTATAAGGGAACAATATGAACAACTGCACAGCAATAAAAGAGATATCTAAGATGAAGTGGAAAATTTATAGAAAAATACAAACTACTAAAACTGACTCAAGAAGAAATAGAAAATCTGGGCTTGAATTAGTAATCAAAATCCCAGACAAAGATGGCTTTACTGGAGAATTCCACCAAGCATTTAAAAAATAGTAATTTTTCCACAAACTTCTGAAATTAGAAGAGGGAACACTTTCCAAATAATTCCATTAGGCCAGATGTCACAAGAAAATTACCAGTATCTCATGATTAAAAATGTGAATACTTCAACAAAACAAGGCTGAATCCAGCATCACATCAAAAGGATTATACACTGTGATCAAGTGGGATTCATTCCACAGATGTAAGGCTGGTTTATTTAACATGTGTAAGTCAAGTAATGTAAATATATCATAGAGCAATACAATAAAAGGAAAAAAAATCCAATGATCATCTGAATAGGTACAAAAGAAAGCATTTCACAAAATTCAATACCCTTTCATAATAAAAGCACTCTATAAACTAGAAACAGACAGGAACTTCCTCAAACTGATAAAGGGCATTATACAAAAAACCCACAGCTAACAACCATTTAATGGTGAAACACTGAATGCTTTCTCCTATGATAAGGAATAAGACAAGGATGTTCCCTCTCACCACTTCCCTTCGACATTGTATTGGATGTTCTAACCAGAGAAACTTGACAATTGAATTGAATGAAAGTCATCTAGATTGAAAATGACAAAGTAAAATATCTCTATTTGCAGATGACATGATCTTATGTATTGAAAATCTTTGGAATCCTCCAGGTGGTAAAGATACCTCGAGACAAGTGCTGGGCATAGAAGCCACAGGGCATAAATCTGCAAAGAAGTAAAAAGCTAACCTTTGCAAACAATATGGCTTCTCTCTCACTTACCAACTTTACATTTCCCTGTATGGCCCCGGAAGATGACTGGTTAGCCAGAGACGGGTAAGATTCCTCAAGGGAGGAACAACCTAAGACAGGCACAGTCGCAGGGGGGCCATCAGGTGAGAATTTGGGGATCAACAGAGGTGAGGCTCAGAACCTCACCCCCCCTGCTTTGAGAGAAATCTTCTGCATCCGTGGATGTCTTGCTGCCCTTGTCTAGCCTGGATTAAAACTTAGTCCATAGGCACACACCTGATCATCTGATCATCTACATTTGCCTTCTTACAGCACTAAACTATGTTTTCTACCTTTATCTTGCATCTACCTACCACTTCAGCATTTTATTAAAAATAAAAATAATAATAATAATAGGAGAAATGTGGGATCAACATATAAATCAAGTACAAAAATCAAA